GCAGTCGCCCTGCACTGCAGCACCCAGCTCGCTCGGCCTGAGGACCACCCCAAGGACCTCCACAGCGGGAACCTGGAAGTTCTGGTGGCCGGCCCAAATGCCGGGGGCCCCATCGGCTGCCAGGGGGCATCAAAGACGCTCCTGGGACAGGCTCCTTTCCGGACCCGCCCGCCTCGGAGGTAGGCAACCCAGCGTGGCCGCTTCCCCTTCGTCCATCCCGACGACTAATCTGTCACTGACGTCGTGGAATATTTATACTCTCCCCTCCCTCTTTCCTGAAATGAGATCGGACAAACGTCAGTCGGACAAACGTCGGGCGGACAAACGTCGGGCGGACAAACGTCGGGCGGACAAACGTCGGGCGGACAAACGTCGGTCGGACAAAAATTTAAGTGAAGGGGAGGGCGGACAAATTTCGGCAGGACGGACAAACGTCGGACGGACAAACGATGTACACCGTACTTCCGGATCGGACGTTTCCGTTTACTACTGTGTTGATTTTATTTCTTCGAGGTTTTTTTTGGGGGGGAGGTGGGGGATGTTGACCGAGTGACCAACTCTCCGCGCAGGGCAGTGGCAGCATTTGCATCGGGCACTGCGCAGCGCGGCGAAGCGCGGCGAAGCGCGGCGCAGCGCGCTCCAGATAATATAGCGTCATTTTTCTGGCGGGCTGCGCGGCTGCGCGCGTGCCAGTGGCACTGTAAGGGCACTGTAGGGCACCGCAACAAACTGCGCCGCTTACAGCGAGTGGCGTGGCCGGGCGTGGCCGGGCTGGAGAATCCATCTCGCGCCGCGCGAGTGCCCCGGACAAAGTATTGCTCCTGGAGCCGCGGCGGCGATCCCGCTCAGCGTTTCCTCGCTGTCTCTCTCGCACACGGCATTCCCCGTGAGTGCGAGGGAGACAGAGCGACGGCACGGCGCGCATCATTCGCGCTAAACGAGGCGGCGGTTGGCGGCCGGCCAGCGCGGTCAGGGGTGGCGGTGGGGGGAGGGGGGGACCACCCCGGCCTCCCTCGCACCGCATCGGGTTGACCCCTATCTGGAGGGCACAGCGCAGCGCGCAGCACAAGAGCAGAGAACAGAAGAGAGAGCGAGAGGGGGCAGAGCGGGCAGGGCGGGCAGGGCCCTCCCCCGCCCCCTTTCCGCAGTGCATGCTCCTGGAGCGACGGATCGGGGCCACGGCCCACTGGAGGCCGGCAAATTGCGGAAGTGGGAGCGAGAGAGATAGCGAGTGGTGGCGTCGGAGATGAGAGAGAGAGAGAGGGGAGAGAGAGAGAGAGAGAGAGAGAGAGAGAGAGAGAGAGAGAGAGAGAGAGAGAGAGAGAGACGGAAAGCAGGCTCGCGGGAAAGAGGAAATCTGAATTAGGATATCAGTGTCGGCCCGGACTTATTTGTCTTTCGTTGTTGTTGTTGTTGTTGTTGTTGTTGTTGTTGTTTTTGTTTGGCGGAGTGGTGCTAGTGAGTCGGCGGGGTGGCACGTCCCTGTGCTGCAGCAAGCAGCAGCCCTGTCGTCCCGTCCGCGCCAAGACCTCCAGCAGGCCGAGCAGGCACTGCACTGCATGTTGTTTGCGCGCCGCCCGGTGCATAAAAACAAAAAATTCCAATGCTAATCGCATTGCTAGGTGGGTACTCTTTGGGCCTTCCTTTAGAACACCCTTGTTACGGAGTGCGATTGGCCGCCTCAGTTTGGGAGCGGTATTGCAGCAAAGTTTGTCGAAACGCTAACAAAGGTGTAGAAATCGTGGTTTGGCTGCAGGCTGCAGCGGCAAGGCAGAGATCCTACTAATGACAGAGCGCGGCGCCATCTCGCTTCCCTAATGCCTCCGAGTCGGCCAGAGTACCCGGCGCTAAACAATTCAGACTTAGGGAGGCAGCCGGTCTCTCCCGCCAGCACGGGTGCGAGAGAGGAGCCTCCCAGTCCGCCGCACAGGGGTGCACAGGGGTAGCTCTGGGTGGCGCCGCCCGGCGTCGAGGCTGGCCGAGGCTCGAGGGGTGAAGAGGCCTGGCTGCCGCCGTGGCGCCCCCTGCCGGCGGCGGCGGGAAGCGGAAATCGGCGAAATCGCAAACGGACGCGGAGCCGCAGCGGCGGGACTACCCCACGCCGCAAGGGCCACGCTCCGGGCGTCGCGACGCGCAGCGGCGGTACCCCGCGCCGCCGCCAGAGTGGAAGCAACAAGCAGCGTCGCGACGCCGCGCGCCACCCCGCCTCGCCGCACCCCACCCCACCCCGCCCCGCGCGGCATCATCCGTATTCCGGCTACTCAGGTCGGCCGTGCAAGAGTCATGACGCCTGAAAGGAGCAACCAGGTTACGCTGCCTTCGGTACCTTCGTCAACAAGCAACTCCTCCGAACTGCCTCGACGTCTCTCTGGGCAGGGAGCTGGGTTTTGTACCAGTGGTGTCGCCACGAAGAAGGCGGAAATTCCCACGATACACCAGCATTGAAAAGGTTCCCGGCATCTCAGCCCTCAGACCGCCTGCAAGGGAATATTTTGGATTTTCGCGTTTTGCCCCTTTGTTGTTGGCATGTGTATGTGTGTGCGCGGGGAGGCGACGGCGGGGCGTACGCACCACCGCACCGCGCCGCGCCGCCCGGACGCAGCCCTTGAGGGCGTAGTAGGCCAGTGCCCTCCGGTCCCCCACCCCCACCTGGGCCGCCCCACTCTGCGGGCCCTTTCGTTGCTCTGTCTCTCTCACACTCGCGGGACGCCCCATGAGTGCGAGAGAGACAGAGCGACGGGCCCGCGGCAATGCGGTGCCGGTATCAGCCGGCCGGCGTGGCGAGGAGGTACCCTTCCCCTGTCGAAACCCCCCCCCCCCCCCCCGTCCCTGGCAACGTCCTTCCTTTACTCTTCCACTGCGTTCCACTCAGTTCCGGCCTCCTCCCCCACGCCCTGCGTCAGACAGAGCGCGAGCATCCTCTCTGGCTTCCTCTTTCGGTAACCAATAGGCGACCCCGGCCCGGGGCCCCGCCTGCCCCGGCTGGGGCCCTGAGATATTGGGCGCAGTCGCGCGTTGCCAAGCAGCAACTACCCCGGCCAACCTAGCCCCCTCCCCCTCGCTTACAATACCCGTCAACCACGCAAACTTTGATCGATGCGTCAAAGAGATTTGGAAGCCCCGCTAAAACTAGCAACACTCGTTGCCGGCGGGGAGAGGGATAGACTGGGAACTGAAAGCGAGCCACGGAACGGAGAGCCACCCCCAGCCGCCAGCATCCACCGCTAAAAGCACTAAAAGCCCGGAGTGCTGGCGTCGGCAGCGGGCTTAGTAGCAGCTCACCCCGAACAGAGAGTCCTCCGGTGCTCCGTCTCTGATATATTGAGATATTCGAAAATATTCGGCTCGGGCCGGATCACTATTTTCAAACCTTTGTCACTGTTTTGACCAACTTAGAGGAAACACTAACCAACAACAGTCCCTTCGAAATCTTCCGCCACGTGTCCTGGTAAATTTTCGATGAGCGCATTTTTCTCCGAAACCGGCTGGCTGAGTCATATCCGGCCTTCCCTCTGGCTCTCACTCTCCGTGTCGTCACCAGGCGTGCCTGGCGGCTGTCACGCCTCCGCCATGGAGCAGGCTGATTCTGGACCCGCGCGCTCTGTCTCGCTCGCACTCACGGAGTTCCCCACGGGGGGTGCGAGAGAGACAGAGCGACGCGACGCTTCTCGGAAGACCACAGGCGTGGCGATAGGTGGCGAGACGACATAAGCGCGGCGGCCGGGCTAGCGCAGTCAGTGTACGCCACAGCCGTGCCCCAGCCGTGCCCCAGCCTCGCCACAGCCGTCGCCGCAGTAAGTCGAACCAGTCCTCATCGCTCTCTGCTTCTCCAGCGATGCCCGCCAGACTCTTCCGGGCCTTCCAGTTGACCGGCGGACGCGGCGGCCTGGAAGCCTGGAGGGCCTGGAGCCTCGCCTGGAGCCTCGCCTGGAGCCTCGCCTGGAGCCTCGCCTGGAGCACTGACGGACACGATTCGCTATTTTTGCCCCACTTTCCCCTCCCCTCCCCTTCGCCCTGGCAGGGCCGGCAGGGCTGTGTGTTGTCCGATTGGGCGGCCATATCTCGCATGTGGGTCGTAACCCCCTCCCCTCCCCCTCTCAGCCCTTCCTTCTCTTTTGGGCCCTGTTTACCGAGGGGCCTTGGATGGCGTGAGGCTGCAGGCTGAGTCGTCGCTGCGTCTCTCTCGCACTCATGGGGCGTCCCGTATAAGTGCGAGAGAGACAGTCGGAATCCGTCTTCTGAGCGACGCCGCTGCGGCCAAAGAGCAGCCGGCGCCACACTGACGAAGCAGTCCAGACAGCCCCCCCCCCCCCCCCTTTTCCCCCCCGGTCTGGTCCCGCCCCTTAATGGGCGCGCGAGAAAGTTCTTTATCTGCTTATGGCAAATTTCACAGTGACGCGCACCCCCTGCCCCTGATGACGCCCCGCGGGTGCAAACGGGACGGAGAGGAACGCGAGCAGGGGTTGGCCGTCACACTGTGCGCCACGTCGTTTAGTGTGTTTGTTACTGCTGCAGGTACACCTCGCCTTTTTCCTTATCGTTGCCGTCGTCGAAGCCATCGTCGCAGCAGCCATGCGCTCCGTTCCGCTCATTGGTGCGGCCCTGGCGCTGCTGTGCCTCAGCACGGTCGCCGAGGCACAAAGCACAGGTAACGGAGTCCTGTTTGTTTTTCCTTTCTGAGTCCGCTAATTTTATGATTTTTTTTTTTGCTCATTATGCCTGTGGTTGTGGTATATTTTTGTATATTTGTGCCTATGGGATCCCGACTTGTGCTTAGTTTGGGAGCGGTAGGCCTGTTGCCGCAAAGTCGGGAAAAACGGTGACAAAAGTGTAGAAACCGTGCATGGTTTTGAGCTGACGAGTCGGTTGCGGGGTTTCAGGGGCGCGCAAGACCGTCCACCAGTTGGTGTACGAGACGCTGGACCCGGTGGGCTCGAACGCGGAGGCCGGCTCGGCGGCCTACGACCCCAGCGTGGCGTGGGCCGACCGCATCAAGTCCGTGATACGGGCGAAGCTGGCACGGCTGCGCGCCGGGCTGCGGACCCAGCAGGGCCTGCAGGACCAGCAAAGCCAACAGAGTCTCCAGGAACAGCAAACCCTCCAGGACCAGCAGACGCTCCAGGACCAGGGCCAGCAGTACCAGCAGTACGAGTAGCGCGTAAGTCAACCGACCTGTCTGTCTGTCCGACGGTCTGTCTGTCTGTCTGGTCTGTCTGTCTGTCTGTCTGCCCGTCCGTCCACGTCTCCACCATGTTCCTGCGACCGGTCATCCACGGTAGCGCACAGGTCGTCCGCTGCAGGTGCGCGTCGCACCAACAGGCGCTGGTGCTGCTGACTCCAGCGGGTCTCCAGCAGGACTCGAGGCCGCGCCCCGCCAGGCCATGCTGGCCGTGCTGGCCGTGCGAGTCCATGAGCGTGTATCGATGCCCTGGGACGTCGCCGTATGAATCCTTAAAGGCCCCCGCCCCCTGCCGAGCTCCGCCACACCTTATTCTCCTCCGAGCGCCGCTGCCTCCAGGCTAACCTCCAGGCTGCCTCCAGGCTGCCTCCAGGCTCTCCACTTTGAAACAAGTCCACCTCGGCCGCGGGCTGCCAAGCCATGGCAGAGCCATCCCACTGGAAAGCAATAATGAAGCGCGAGAGAGACCGCAAGCTTCCCTCTCTTCCACCGCCCTTTTTCTCTTTTTCTTTCTTCAAAGCGCGCGGCTCGAGAGACACTCCCGGGCACTCCTCATCTTACTTCGCTCTCCCTCCCGCCATTTTCTTAAAATCATTTTTCTCTTTTTTTTTCCACTCCGCGCGTGTCGCATAATTTTCATACCAGCGATCTTTTAAATCGAATTTGCGCGCGCGCTCGTCTCGTCGTGTCTCCGGGCGGGGCGGGGCGCGGTAGGGTGTTCGCCGAGACCATTTTCTCGGGTAATGTCTCTCTCGTCGCACCCCTTCCCCCGCTCCCCCACCCCCTTGCTCCGGAGCAAGGATTAGAGCACGCCCGCATGATAAATTGGGGCAGGCAGAGCGACACAGATTGTACAGCGCGTACGTGTGTGTGTGTGTGACGTACGTGGCACATATGAAACGTGTCCCAGAGCCACCGATGAGAGACACGCATGGCAACGGGTGGCCGCGCTGGATTTAATAGCCGCCCCGACCGGTCGCTCCCCCCCCCCCCCCCCCTTCCACCCTGATCGGCATGTAAACCACCACACCGACCGCAGCGCGCCTGAAGTGGGCCATGGGGCCGCCGGGTTTTGATCGCCGCACTACGTAAATCACTTTTACAAGGCTTTCAATGTTTTCATCTCGGGGAGGGGGTGGGGCCGGGGTCGTGTTCTGGCCTTCGCTTACATTGTTTGCATAGTCCGGCCACCCTACCCCGCATTTTCATCGTTGGGCGTGGTCAGACCCGTCAACTCTCCTCACCCATTTTCCCCTCCTCGACCGCCCCACTGAGAAAAGCAATAAGTCAAAATATAGTTTTAGTTATTTCGACTAAATCCTAGTGAAAAATTACTTAGAAAACCACGGTTAGTTCGATTGACCTAAAACATTTTTTGAAAGTGCGGCCCTTTGTAGCCCAGACATTGTTTCCTCGCGGTTTAGGGACGGCCCCCATCCATGCATAATGCTCCGGGGGGCGGGCAGACCCCTGGCAGCCCGGAGGGGCAGACTCGGGGGGCAGGTCCATAAACAAGGTGACTTGTGCACGGCTGCATGGCGTTAGCGCTCGGCCGCATCTTTAATGCACGCCGGGGTGGTTCAGTTAGCCGCGGGGTCGAAAGGGAGGGAGAGGGGAGGGCTGACGGTAACGTCGGGTACTTCATGAACTGCCAGTAGCGGTCTTAAGTAATTGCTTTCTCTTCCCAGGGAGTGCCAGTGTCGAAAGAGCATGCCTCCTAGCTGGGCACAGCGGGCCAGAAGACCGGTGGAGGCGGTCAAAATCCCGGACGCGTTTTGAGCTCCAGAGTCGCTAAATGGGACTCGAACCGAACGTGTGACCCCACCAATGGATTCCTCGTTCGGAGAGCAATCCATTGGTGGGGTCACACGCCCGATTCGAGTCCTATTTAGCGACTCTGGAGCTCAAAACGCGTCTTGAGTTTTGGCCGCCTCCAGCGGTCTTCTGGCCCACTGTGCTGGGCAAAGCAAAGGCAGGCTAAGGTTGGCAACCCTCTCGGTGTCCTTTCGGGACCAATGGTGGTTCCACTTACCGGAGTTGTCCGGGGCGTCGGCGCGCAGGTGGTCCTCGTGCGCCACCCTCCGCGCGCCTCCGGGCGGCCGCAGCCTGGGCGCCTCGGGCTCTGCAAGCAAAGCAAGCAAACAGCCGCAATTAGGCGGGCGTCCCGAACACATGGCGTCGCATTGCAGCTGCAGCAAGCGCCCCCCCCCCTTTCCCCCCTTCGAGGCGAGACAATGTGGACGGAGACGGCGGGCGGCTCGGAGGCCGACCGGGTCGGGGAACTTTCTGTCATGAATTCCGCTGCAGCCGAACGGCACGGAACGGAACAAGGCGGATGCGAACAGCCAGTTTCTGGCTGAAATTTGACCATTTTCACTTTTTGCCTGACAGATTTTTTTGTCCATTTTTCCTCCTTGGATTCCATTACGTAAAATGTTGAAAAAAAAATCCGTCTGATGAGCGGGATGCTAGTGTGCATTGTGCATTGGTTGACCTTTTTAAAAAGACAAACAGAAACTGAGGGATGGTTATAAACTGAAAGGCAGAGTCCGCCGGGACCTAGGTCAACATCCCTCGACCGCTGCCGACTCGACGCCGTCCTCCCCGCGGAGTTGGACACGGTTCACCTCTCCGAGGGTCCCGACGTCCGCCGTGACGGACCGGGCCGATCGGCGAGCCGAGCGCTCCAACAGCGAAGGAAGCCCTGCAGACTCTCTCTTTCTCTCTCGCACTCACGGGGCGTCCCGTACGAGTGCGAGAGAGGCAGGCGTCCACGTCGACTTGTATTACTCTGTTTTCCCCCAGGCCTTCCTTCCTCGCCGCCGTTCCGCCGCCCCACGGCCCCCATGATAAATCCATGGCGAGGTGGGGCCGTGCACTCCAGCGCCATATTTTCATTTGCTGGAGCCTGGAGCCTGCAGCCCGCCGCTGGAGCCGGAACCGTGTTTCCTCGACGCGGGACTCCGCCGCCGGGAGAAGGAGAAGACGGCCCCCGAGCCGCACGAAATACAGCAGTGAAGTCCGTGTCACTTTGTGCCTCGTTCGAAATACAGCAGCCGCACGCGGAGCAGGAAAAATCCGTTTTCCACGTGACTTTTCCGGGTTGCTGTTGTTTTTTATGGGCTGCGCTGGGCCGGGCGAACCAGGGCAGGACTGCCCCGGACAGGCCGGGCCGTAAGTAGGCGACGGAGAAGGTCAGAACCACGCCTTGCCGTACGGCGTACGGCCCCGGCCGATTTATGGCTCTCTAAACAGCCAGCCGGCACTGCTTCGTCGCTCCGTCTCTCTCGCACACCATTCGCAGCGCCCCACGAGTGCGAGAGAGACAGAACGACTGAGTCGGTACTACTGCTTCGGCTGGCCCGACGACGCGGGCACACAACGGCACGATCAGTTGTGGTCTAGCCCGTAGTGGTAATGGTAATGCGCGGGCAGGCAACGCGCGGGCAGCCGCGGCCAGCGGGTTGCCTATGCGCCGCTCGTCGGGCGCTCGGCTCGGCTCGGCGCGGCCGGCACCGCTCTCACAAAGGCCACCGAGCACTGCGCTCTCTCTCTCTCGCACCTGTGCGGGACGCCCCATGAGTGCGAGAGAGAGAGGAAGCAGGCTGGCTGAGCCTTAACAATGCGCTGCCGAGAGCAGCCGCCGCTTCCTCGTCTCCTCCTTTCTCACCCTCCGTATTCGTGGCCTTTTCTACGCCTGCCTGTCGCTCCCTCTCTCTCGCACTCATGGGGCGTCCTGTAGGGCTGTGAGGAAGACAGAGCGACGCCCCCGCTCAGCCTGCAGGCCTCTCCCATTCGCCCTTCCCCTCTGGCAGGGCTCCTGCTGCTGCATTGTAATGGACAATGACACACAATCGGCCGAGACGCAAGCAAAGGCGAGGAAAGGAACCTTTGCGAAAATGCCTTCGAAAACGCCTCATGAGAGGGAAGCGAGGGGGGAAGTGTCTGGGAACAATCTATTCATCTCCGTCCGTCCGCCACCAACCGCCAGGACCGCCGAGAGACGGGCAGGGTGCTCGCCGGCCGCGCGAGCAGAAGCAGAGCTTGAAGCAGAGCCCCCTGCACTTGAAACGAGAACTGACTTCATGAGAAATTGAGCCCGCGCGGCGCAACGTCAGAAACAATCCTGGCCAGCTACGTTTCCCAGAAGACAAAGAACACTGACGTACATTCAGTCAGGGCCGGGTCGATGACCCGACCCCTCGCGGCCCCGGCCACTGCCAGCCCAGGGGTAGGAAGGGGAGGGGAGGGGGCGGGTGCCGAAGACACGGAAAGCCCCCGTAGTTAGTTCGGATGGCACACCAGCGCGGCAGCATGGCGGCAGCGCCCCGGCATGCCCTGGCCCACGTCATGACCGCCCTTCCCCAGGCCGAGGCCTGTTCAACCGGACCCTTTTTCGCTTTGAGCTCTCCGGTCCGCAAACAGGACTCGAACACGTGAGAGCACCAATGGCTTCCTCGTGGAAGGAGCGATCCACTCTGCAAAACGCGAGTGTGTGTGGACGCGAGATGCCAACCACAGCGAGGTCTTGGAATTCCGAATTCCAGGACTCCAGGACTCCAGTGCTCCAGCAAGGCATTATGAGCCTGATGCGCGGCTCTCCCCCACTGGAATAAAGGCGGTGCCTTCCCCATCCCGGCTCTGCTCCGGCCCGATTTCCATGCGCCGCCGCCACGGCCCGGGTTTACTCAGCGGCGCGGGGAGGAGAAGGAATAAAAAGATAAAAATCTCATTCAACGAACGTTAATGAAAGCAGATGATCCATCGCGTTTTACAACTGCTGTGATAGCCGAGAGGTTAGAGACGTGGGATCGAGTTACCGCAGGCGGGCGTTCGAATACCAGCGTCATATACGTTTTTTCGACTTACTTTCCTAAGGGTGGTGGTTCGAGGCCATCCGAGCGGAGCCGTGTGCAACAGACCCACATGCCGGAGGTTCGACTCCTAACAAATATTTCCATTTAATTTTACTGCCTCACCCAGTGCGATTGAAACCCGTGAACGTGAGCCCACTCCGTGCATGGGACGTGGTGGTCCAGGGAGTAGAGGCGTCGGTTCCCAATGCTAGGGTCGACGGTTCGACTCCCCCAACTTCTTGCGAAATTTTGACCGGGTCGGTCGAGTCCTGTTGCGTCAAGAACCCACCTCACGCCGATCCCCTCATCATGGGCCGTGGTGGCCGAGAGCGTAAAGTCGTGTGATTCCGATGGCGGGGTCCGGGGATCGATTCCCATCATTTCATTACCTTTTTCGGCCGCCTTCCTCCCATTGCAACTCAAACCCGTCGTCCAACACGCTGCCAGACGTACAAGCGTGATAGCGTAGTGGTCAGAGTCACATTCACCTGGCCTCTACGCTGTGGGTGTCTAAAAAGCAATCCGCTTCGGCGGGTTGGCCTCGGCACTGGAGCGATGGAGTATTTGATCCATCAATCCAGACCATCCGGTGTGTGGTTGCGGGTGGTGCCTCCTTGACTCGTCGGGGAGGCGATGATAAGTCCTTTGAAGCTGGCCTAAAACGCTGTATGTTCGGTACGGGAGCGCCGGACAGTGGGGGTACCATGGGGTACACAACCAACCCTACGAAAACAAGAAGCTCCCACCAAACCTCTTCTCTGTCTGAGTCTCTCTCTGTCTCTCTGTCGTCTCACTCTACGTCCCGCCCCTCTAAGAGCTTTCGTACTGGGTGCTCTCACCCAGCTGCCTGAGCTTTGGGGTCCTACTGGGTCCCCCGGCGAACGCTTAGAGTCGCTGACGGGATTAACCCCAGGTACCTGATAGCACCGGTTCCCATCCCGAACACCGAAGTAAAGCAGGAGGCCTCCCCATTAAGACTGGGGAGGGGGTGTAGAGTTCAATTTTTTTCTTTTCCCTTTCAAATTTCTCAGTCAATACTCGTTCGGTTTCCTTATACGGGGTAGTATGCGGGCTCATTCCAAAGATAGTAATTAAAATTGTGTATGAAACAAAATATATAGACCCGAGCGAGGTGGCCGGTGCCTCCTCCTCCTCCTCCTCCTCCTCCTCATCGAGACCGTCGAGCCTCACCTGGCGCTGGCCCCGGCCCCCCGGACGGCGGCGGCTGGCCGCGGATCACGGCGTCGTCCTGGCGAGGCCGCGGACCCGTGTACTCGTGCCAGCGGTACGTGCTGCGGTACTCCGAGTGCAGCTGCAACAACAACAACAAACATCAACAACAGTTCAACAAAAACAACAACATCGGAATGGGGGGGGGAGTCCCTATCGGGCAGCAGCACCCGGGCCTTCCCGCTGCAGCGAGGGCGTGCCGAGCAACAAGTGAGGCGCCACGCGTGTATCCCGCGCACGGGGTGTGGTGTGTGTGTCCGTGCGTGTAAGTTTGTTGTCTCTGTCTGTGTGTTTTTAGGCAGAATCATGGACGCGCACGACTCAATCTCCCCCATCAATCATGAATACGGAAGTCTCAATCACACACGCTCGCATGCGTGCACACAAACAAATACATCACGCAGCCGTTCGCCGCGAGCACCGAGTCCAATGTTGGATTAGAAGATAATAATAATAAGAAGAAGAAAACCGTCCTACGATTAAATTGATCATAACTCCAACAGCTGTAATAGCTAGAGCGTTGATTGCCTTTCAATCGAATTTCATTTGAGTGGTAGTTTTTTCTTTGGAGTTTCTTCCGTGTTTGGCAGTGACGCAGGCAAAGGGGACTGTTCAATCAGACTGCCCCCTGTGACGCCGGCGCTGTCCACCCCGCCCCGCCCCGCCCCGTGTGTCCGGAAGGGGCGCCGCCCGTGGCCCGGCCGGGCCCGGGGGAAAATCGAAGTGCAGGCCGGGCCCGGTCACGACCACGGGCGGGCCACGGCGGGCCCAGGCGGGCCGCGCCACGCTGCGTATTCAACCCCCGATAGAACACCCCCTGCACCTCCGGGACCCTCCCCTGGCCTGCCGGGCCTGCCAACGGCCCGCCAAAGGAGGTATGGGTGCGGCCAGGCCTCGGCCGGTGGCGTCGATACCTCTCGGCCACCGCGAGGCACTGCAGGGCACCGCCGGCCACCGCCGCAAACGATCGCGAGTCCGCCGCGCCCCGACCGCCAATAGGCAGTGGCGTAGCCGAGAGCGAACAGCGAATACCTCCGCACCCTCGCGGCCTATCGGGCATTCCAGCTCGCCGCCCCAAGCCCGTTACCTCCGCAATGTTCGCCAACTCGCACACACAAGTTTGAATTGCGGCGCGGCCGCGGCCCCGCCGCCCCACGGGCCCCCCGGAACCACCAGCAAAACCGACCAAAACAATGACCTGCGACGCCATCGACCACCGGACAGCCAGGTCGCCGATAAGTTGCACGCAATCGGGGGGCTCTGCGCCGCGAGCCCCTTCCGGGCCCACCATGCCCACCAAAACATGGCCCCACATGGGCGCCCACATGGGCCCCACCAGGACCCCACCAGGGCCCCACCAGTGGGCCCCACCATGGGCCACCATGGGCCTGCCCCAGGCCCCACCATGGGCCCCACCATGGGCCCCACCATGGGCCCCACCATGGGCCCCACCATGGGCCCCACCATGGGCCCCACCATGGGCCCCACCATGGGCCCCACCATGGGCCGCGGCACGCCAAAGCCATCGATTCCGGTCGCCACGGATTATTATTACTTATCAGGAGGGCCGGTGGTGGCGATTCGGCGGATCGTCGCGGCGGTTCTCAGAAGCAGCGGCGTAGCCAGGGGGCCCCGCCGGGGGTGCCAAGGGGGCGGCCATGCATGTTTCAGCAGCACTAGGCCGCGTGCCGCGTGTGCCGCCGTTGCGTGACCGCAGTGCTCTCTGTCTCTCTCGCACCCACACGGAATGCACCGTCAGATCCATACCACCTGCAGGGCGGACAGTCGGACAGGTCTGCAGACGAGCAGGCCGATAGACAGGCCCACACACACGCACTCACACAAACACGCCGACACTAAGTGAGACGATTATAACGTCTCAATAATTAAACCAAGAGTTCGACGCCGTCCTTGGCGAGTTCTCGGCAACAACAGTGGGGCGGCGGTGTCCAATGCGGCAAGTTGTTCGGAAAGCTTTTTGTGGAGCCTCT